TAAACTTTGTTGTTTGGCTCAGAGACTTCAGACAGTTTGTAGAGCTGCAGATGAACACTATTTCATTATTGATTCCTCTGCCAGTTGTTTTATTGATTAATCAATTAATTGAAAGTCTTCAGAAAATTGTAAAACAAAAACTCAGTTTCCCAGAATCCAAAGGGACGTCTTCATGTTGTTTGACCAACGACAGAGATCCTCACATGTGAGAAGCTGGAACAGCCAAATCTTTATTAATCGATAATCAAAACAGTTGATGAGTTTTCCACAGTGAGGGTTTCACACTCAGTGTTATCTGCTGCTGAACGCCTGCTGTGTTATTTTAATGGGACTCTTCACAGAGCAGAGAGTCAGCTGATGAAAACAGACACACGACCAGACTCACTGAGGAACTGACGAGGGAAGAACAGACGGTTAGCGTAGTTAGCACCTTTGATTTGTTTATGTTGTTCGTTAGCTTGTAACTGACAGAGGCTGACACAGTGTTAGCAGTTGTGCTAATGCTAACGCTCTCTGTCTGTACTGACATGGTTTCAGGTGTATTTAGCCCCGCCCCCGTCCACACAAGCTGACAGGATTGGTTCCTGAGGTTTGTGACGTATGAAACCCTGAATCTGTTTATGAGACTGTGATTGGTTCACTGCAGGTCAAGGTGGAAACTCTCAGTTATGGTGCTGATGATTATTTCATCATCATGTGTCTGTGTTATATAAAAACATCCTGTTGGATGCTAACTGAGTAACAAACCTGAAGCGTCTCACCTGTCCCTCAGGTAGCTGTTATCCCTGTCCAGAGTCGGTGGAGATCAGATGTACCTGTGGTTCTACGAGCCTGTCTGTCCCCTGTGGACGAGAGAGGAGCACCAAGCCACCTCGCTGCAAGGAGGCCTGCAGGTCCACACACACACACACACACACACGGAGGACCCCCACCTGTCCAGTCCCCTCTCACCACGGCTCCTCTGTTGTCTCCTCAGGTGTCCCCCGTCCTGCCACCACCTGACCAGAGAGCCTCACAGGTGCCACCCCGGGCCCTGCCCCCCCTGCAGACAGACCTGCCTGCTGCCGCTGCCCAGGTGCAGCCACACCTGTCCACAGTCCTGCCACGACCTGGTGCTGGTCAAGTCCCAGCAGGTGGGCTGCCATCTTAAAGGAACAGGTCCACGTTTAGTGACATTCGCTGGTTCATGTCTGTTAGCTTAGCTTAGCATAAAGGCAGGAAACGGGGAAACAGTGAGCCAGGCTCTGAAATAACGTGGGAGTGTGTGTGTGTGTGTGTGTGTGTGTGTGTGTGTGACAGCATCTTATCGCCGTCATCAGTTTCATCAGAAAAATTATGTTTGGAAAACCCTCTGAATGTTTTCTCTGTGTGTCTGTGTGTGTGTGTGTGGGTGTGTGTGTGTGTGTGTGTGTGTGTAGGTTCAGTTAGCAGGTCCGTGGGAGCAGCCGTCTGAACCAGCGTTTGTGAAGAAGGCTCTCCCCTGTCCGCCGTGTCAAGTACCAATACCAACGTAGGTCAAACACATTCAGTTGATCTGAATATGATCTTTTTATTCTTTAGTGTCAAAGCCCAAAAATTTCTTCTCAGTTTTAACATCTTTTAGATCCCGTCACGTTCCCCTGACCTTTGATAAATGTTATTAAGAGGAAAAGCAGAATCATAACTCCAGTCCTCACATGTATTTATTCTGTTTAGAAAAGGAGTGAAAACTAAGAAAACATACTTTTAATAGAGTAAAGAGAGTTAATAATATAATAATATGATATATTGATACGTCAGTATGAGCAGACACACAGGTGATTAAAGTAAAAGAGGAACTAAACGGACGAGGTTCGAATCTCAGTGAGTCAGACTCTAGAAAAATTAAAATGATTGTTCTCTGTTTTCACCATGTGGTCCCCAGACACACACACACACACACACACACACACACACACAGATGGTTTGTGTTGGTCGTTCACTGCGTCACAGAGCTGCAGGCAGCTGGCATACACAACTGTTAGCCACACACACACTTACAAACAACTGTTCACACACACACACACACACATTCCAAGGAGCTTTGGTTCTGTCATGGATCATTAGAACTGAGATTAAAAAACACTGCATGCTGTGTGTGTGTGTGTGTGTGTGTGTGTGTGTGTGTGTGTGTGTGTGTGTGTGTGTGTTGATGTTGGGGAAACTCAGGCCAACAGCCACAAACACGACTCAGTTGTTTAAATAACTGTGTGTGTGTGTGTGTGTGTGTTCGTGTGTGTGTGTGTGTGTG